AGTCGTCACCTGCGCATGCGTCAGATGGCCATGGCGTGTCATTGTTTACAAACAAGCGTCTACCCATGAGCCTTTGCGTTTATAGCGTGTGTTGTTATCGTCACTTGGGACTCAATTCCCGCGCAGAACATGTCTCTATTTGAATACTACGAAAACAAAAGCAAATCAGAGCAAAGTTCGTTTCTTCGATTAGTAGGACAAGAGATAATTATTGGTTTATGTGCATTGCATTCATCGAATCAAGCACATGGAATAATTCGCCAAGTTATAGACCAGTCTCAGCATGACATGTTCTGGTTTATTGTTATTATGATTATTATTATGTACATATTGCTTACGCGATAATATAATATGTATCGATTTGTATTACCAGTAAATCAACCATCAAGTATCCGAACTACAGCTCTTCCCTCTCCACCCCGGACCCCGTCACCCGAACCAGCACCAATACCAACACGATCAGTTCCACCACCAGTAAGTACACTTATTGACATGCAATACTTGTAATTCCATTACAACGTATTAATATATAAATATTTGTTATATCATTTTACATGTTAATATGTGATACCTTGTAATACCATTCACTTATATTAACACGTAATACTTGTAATACCTATTAACATGCAATACATACAATACCATTTACATATATTTACATATATTCACGTAATTTTAATGTAGTTGTACATATATCATGTTGGTTGTCGGCTGTCGGCTGTGGTTCCAAGGATGCTTTCTAAAATACTTCGTGAATATGTTTCCTGTAAAGTATTTCGGGTTATTATCCCTCAAGTATGAATGACAATGATATTGGTCCAACGCGGTACTCGATTGTTTAATAAATATTGATATTACCCGTTCCCAGCGTATTTCTTTCCTCTGACGTCATTTTGTGTTATGCATTCGGGACACGTAAATTGCACTTTCAAAAATGCATTTTTCCCTACAACGGAATAATTTTGATTTTATCTCCGCTCGGAAAGTTTGCGTCTTGGCTCGCAGTTTTACCTCGCTTACTGGTTCACCATTCTCTTCCGGAGTAATAAAACATTTACTGTTCTTTGTTTTGACCAGTATCAGTAGTTGGATATTGATAACATTTATATGGGGAAGTTATTCCTTGATATTGGCCTCGGGCCAGGCCAATAATCATATATCACTCACTGGCCATTATCTGCGTGTGTGTATGTATTCCGGCTTGTGTTTTGTTATTTTCGTTGAAGCTACTCTTTTTGACTTCTTATTAAAATATAATTCTGATTGTTCACATACTTGCCGACTACTAGTATATGGCCGATGACAGGTGTTTCCTTTTCGCTACGATATCTCACATAGAGCGTGTTTTATTTCATCAATTGACGTCTCGTTTATAGTTTAGAATGCAGAATAATGCTATTTCGTCAATATTCTACCAGATTATCATTTTTCATTCATCACTATCACTTAAAAGGCAGTAATCGCCGCGCCACGCATGCGCGAGTTATATGGGGCTCATATAAACAAAGATGGCGACGCATATCAACGAGTGCAAACGGATACGTTACCACGCTTTAATTAGGTATTTTTTCAGGTGATTGGACGGTATCGAAGGAGTTACCGGCGGTAATTAATGAACGTCGGACCCATGTCAAACCTCATACTTGTGATTTCCATTAGAAGCGCGCATTGGATTGTGAGAAAATCAATGTTTAACAACACAAATGTCGCACATGCACAGCGCGACGACCATCGCCCTTTAAAACAAAAAGAAATCACACATTTCAACAAATTATACCCTATCATATTGTTATTTACAGCAACCCAGATACCGCGCATTGTACGATTATGACGCCACGGACAGTGACGAAGTAACCTTCATCGAAGGCGACACGTTTATTAATATCGAGGTGGTAGATGCCGGGTGGTTGTCAGGCACCAACGAAAGAAATGGACAGGAGGGTATGCTTCCCGCTAACTACGTGGAACAGATATAACTTTGTGTTTTGAATTACCGCCACAAAAATATGTGTGCTCACATTTTGTATCTCTACATTCGTAGTTACACATCGGCACTTCACAATTCTTTGTGTAAATAATATTATCAGGAAAATGCCAGCCATAAAATGCGTATATATTTAGAAAATTCACAATCGTAATAATCAATGAATACTTTTTTTTTTAAATGCGAAATTGTTTATACATAAACCTTTATCTGTTGAGGTCCTATTCGTGTATTTTATATCATTTCCTCGTATTTCCGTGTAAATAATTTCAAAGCATAGACTGGATGATACACATATTTTGCCAATGCACAATCATAATAATCAACCCGAATCTCACAGATCCAAAACTGCTGTCTAAACAAACGAACATTTATATAGAAAACGGCTCGCAAATTGTTTTTAAATTAACTTTATGGTGTACCGGCATATTGAATTTTCTTCACTTTGCATCGTATGAGTGAGAATAGTCACGACACGCAGTGAAACTGATGAAAAAAAAACGTCCAGTTTTTGAAATGTTTAAATGATATAAAATAACATCATCCTGGAGGTAGATTATAATTAGAATTACGTCATTCGCATTGTAAGACAGGGAGTTGATATTATTCAAAAAGATTTATAAAAAATACGTATTTGTTTTGAATTTTTGTTTTTAATATAATAAAACTGTATTACACTTAATAACTTACTCGTAAGGTGAGTCAGTCTCGTGTTTCAGTGATAAACGAGCAAAAGACGACTTCGGGGTTTGAGAGAGAGAGAGGAGATGATGACTTGAAACTTTCTTCTGATTATGTTCAACATTTTTCATTCTGTATTTAATATCTAACATGTATCCATTAATTCTTGACAATTGTAACATTAATAAGACTAAATCTAAATAAATGGTATTCCTATGAAAGTGGTGTCATTATTTTTTGTAATTCTATACAAACGATTCAATAATTGTGTACATATACCAGTGATGTCATCGTTCGGTGTGCCTCTGTGCAAGTGATGTCATCATTTATCAACTTTTTGAACTAATATGTTGCAATTTTGAAAGCATGGTTGTATACGCAGATCGAGCATTATTTGTTGAGAGTGGGGGGGGGGGGGCTTGTGCATTGTTTTGTATTCCAGTATAACTTGTACAAATGGGATTAATTCAAATGTTTGGTGACTGCTTATCGTCAAATAGAGGGTTTCTGATAAAACGGGACCAGGAATTTTGAAAATATCTGAATTACGTTTGTCGACACATATATATATATTCACTTCTGGCTCAAGTTAAACTCTTAGTATGTCAACTTGAAAAACTGCCACCTAATGCTCTAGACTTATATATATATTAAAGTGGCGACAATAACTGTCTACAATGAAATTTTAATGTTCCATAAAAACATAGACCCTGTTTTGTAATTTATAGGAAAGTTATATTATCGAAATGACTTATACGACCGAGCTATGCATTTCAAATCACTATTAAGCACCGTCATGTAAATCTGGATAAATGTGATGTATAACAGTTCGCAAATGCAAATGATTAACAGCGCGAGTAGCCAATCAGCGACCGCGTTGCAGTTTGTGAGGTCTTGATCTAATGAGAGACAAGCAGCGGTGTTACTGGTCATAATTCCACAACGCAAACTTGAAAGCAGCTGGCCTGAAAGTTTGAGTGTGTTGTTGAGAGTGGATTTATTTAAGCGGGAAAGTAAGTGTGGTCCAGGCTTCTGAGTGGTCAGTGTAAACAGACGGTGGAATTTAGAGGGTGGTTTTTACTGCATTGATCAACGTACTGCGGAAACTCATTCGAGAGACAAATTTACTGTGAGTATTTGCGCATATGCAAGGGCAAGGGTGTACCGCATACAGTGTCCATTTCAAACTTCTTGTATATAGTGCTAATTACAGATGAATACCGATGGATACTATTAGTGTCGTCATTGTACATACGGGTATTTTGAAATATTGTCCAATCAGGTGATATATCATTTGGTGTCACTTGATTGTCACGATAAAACAACTTTACTTTGACACAGGACATGCACTAAACTCACACAGGAATTGAGTAGGTAATTTGCCATG